ATAAATAGAGTTTTTCGCCGAGGTGCGTATTACATTTTTTCGTCGACATCACGGTGCTTTTCATACGTGAAATCTATCGGATTTCGTGAATAATCAATTTGACAACAGCAAATGACAGTTGTCAACTCACACTCCGCGCGGACCAGGGTTGCCAGTTCGATTTCTATTTCATCAGTAAATATACCTTGTCAGAAATTCAGACAATTTTATGCTATTCGAATTCCAAAAATGGGCGAAAAATGTATTAAGGTGAATCATATCAATGTTGGTAAATTCTGTGTACAGCAACATCTTGAAATATGTGCTGTGAGTTAAAAAAAATTGGATTTTTGAATATTTTGCTCAATTGTTATAGATCTCCATCAGGAGATGAGGAAATATTTAAAAAAAACTGGATATCTGTCCTGAATCACCTTTGTAAGCCCAATGTTAAGTTTATTATATGTGGGGATTTTAACTTCGATGTTTTAAAGAATATGCATTTTATTGAATATAACTGTGTAATGTAATGTCAATTGTTAATTGTTTGCCTATTGTGGAATGGCCTACCAGAGTCACAGAGGATTCATACACTATTATTGATCAAATTTTCATAAATTTTAACAATGAAGGTACATGGTTTGTCGAAGATAATACTTTTTCCGATCACAGAAGCGTGTTTTTAGAACTGGATATGTTTCAGAAAGCTACCGAATTACATACCAAATATAGCCGGGTTAGGCGGAGTTTCAGTGACTCCAATTCTAAGAATTTCGAAAATTCTCTAAGTCATGAGGACTGGAATTTTTTATATAATATGAATGACTGTGATGAAGCTTTTGAATATTTTTATGAAATATTTATGTTTCATTTCGAAAATAATTTTCAGAAAAGAAAATATTATGACAATAACTCTTATGACAAAAAGTGGGTTAATGACTCCATCATCGCATCTAGTTCTACCCTCACGGAATTAGCTAGTCCTAAAAATGTTCACCCTTCTTTGAAAGACTCTTATAAAACTGCAAAAAAAGAACATATATCACTAATGAATAAAACTAGAAAAGATTATTACCAAAACATAATCAATAGAGCTGAAAATAAGTCGATGGCATCCTGGGATGTAATCTCTGAATCAACTAATAGAAAAAAATGTTTTAAAAATATAGTCCTAAATGAAGATGGTGCATCAATTGAAGATCCTCATTTGATAATTGACAATGAACCAGTGAATTCAATAAAGCAAATAGATCATGATAATATCCTTTCTCAACCTAACATTACTAACAATTTCAACCCATACTCGTTATTTCTTCATCCTTTTAGTGAACAAGAATTATATAATATACAGTGTGTCCCACTTACCATGCTCACCATGGGTATCTTCTTAACAGTGAAAGATACGAGGTCGGTTAATTAAATCAACTATAATGTGGAAAAATATTTTGATAAAATCTATTCGTTTTTGTTTTATACGCAAAAAACAGATTTTGATCATTTTCGCATGTCTCCTCCGTAACTTCTTTATTTATGGAAATATTCAAATAGGAATTCCACATTCTCATGGCAGTTTCTCAAAGTGATTTCGAAAAGAATATGAAATTTATACCAACTCATCTAGAATTTGAGACATCAGCACCAACTTTAGTTTTTCAAATGTAGGTCATAGCTCACTATGACTTAGTTACAAATAACTTTTTTTTCTCTTACAGGCGGTATGTCGCAGTAATAGTTTTGTGTTGATAACAACTGAGTTATCGTCATTTATACAAAAACAAAAAATTATTTGGAAGCCGCCATCTTGAATTTATGAATTTTAACAAAAAAATCATGATCTCCGACCTCAAAAACTCCCACCCACCAATTTTTAATGCAACGGACCAAATCTTGTCCGCCATCTTGGAGCAGCCATTTTTTTCATTGATGGCAGACAAGATTTGGTCCGATTCCATTCAAAATTGTAAAAACTTCACAAACGATAAGATTTCCATTCAAAATTGGTAAGTGGGGGTTTTTGAGGTCGGAGATCATGATTTTTTTGTTAACATTTATAAATTCAAGATGGCGGCTTCCAAATAATTTTTTGTTTTTGTATAAATGACGATAACTCCGTTGTTATCAACACAAAAATATTACTGCGACATATCATCTGTGAGAGAAAAAAAAGTTATTTGTAACTAAGTCATAGTGAGCTATGACCTACATTTGAATAACTAAAGTTGGTGCTGATATCTCAAATTCTAAAAGAGTTGGTATAAATTTCATATTTTTTTCGAAATCACATTGAAAAATTGCCATTAGAATGTGAAATTCCTATTTGAATATTTTCATAAATAAAGAAGTTACGGAGAAGACATGAAAATGATCAAAACCTGATTTTTGCGTATAAAACAAAAACGAATAGATTTTTTCGAAATATTTCTTCACATTATAGTTGGCCTTGACAAACTCCACATTTGGTGTCATTTAACCGACCTCGTATCTCTCACCGTTAAAAAGATACCCATGGTGAGCATGGTAAGTGGGACACACTGTATAATAAAACTCAAAAATAAAAAGTCCGCTGGTCCAGATGATGTTCCAGTTTTTCTATTGAAAAAAATGTTTCATGTCATAATAGAACCTATAACATTTTTGATCAATTTGTCCTTCACTCAAGGTAATTTTCTCAAAGCGATCAAAATGGGAAAAGTTGTCCCAATACATAAAATAGATGATCCAGAAATGTTGAAGAATTATAGACCCGTAACTCCTCCGTACGATTTTTGAAAGTGTTTGAATATGCATTTTTAGATCGACTTATGGTTTTCATTGAAAAACATGATATTCTCTGTTCAATGTACTTATTGAATCTATAGAAACAGGCGAATGTCCTGCTGTCATATTCTGTGATTTGAGCAGGGCATTCGACTGTGTCAATCGTACAAAATTATTGTCATCTCTTGAAAACTATGGCATAAGGGGCTTATCCTCTAATTAGATCTCTTCTTCTCTAAGAAATCGTGAACAATTCGTCTCAGTTCAACATTCTAATCATGAGGGAATTCTAAGGATTACCTCCAAACCTATCTCTGTTGATATGGGAGTTCCGCAAGGGTCCATTTTAGGGCCTATTTTATTCATACTGTATGTCAATCAAATTGATTCTGTTCTTAATAAAATTAACTACACTGCTTATGCAGATGATTTTTCTCTGATTGTATCGGCACCTGATTCGCTCTCTGTGGTCGAAAAATGTAGTAATTCTGTAAGTCTAGCATCTGATTATTTCAATGATAATGATCTATTTTTCAATGTTTCAAAAGACACAAATTCATTTCATCATCGTCAGAATGAAATAGATCAACTTGTATTCGACCATAATAACTATATTCTAAAAAATACTAATGATCCAGTAAAATTTTTAGGGATAAATTTCGATGAGTGTTTGGATTGGAAATCTCAATGTTCTCAGTTAGTTTCAAAATTGTATTCTCTGGCATATCTTTTCATGAATTTACGTTTTGTGCTTGATGAAAATCAGTTGCTGAGTTTATATCATGCTCAGGTGGGATCTAGACTGAGGTATGGTTTTTGCCTTTGGGGTCATTCCACAATGACCAGAAATGTGTTTATCGCACAAAAACGTATTGTTAGGTGTATTGGCAGAGTATCGAGAAGAAACACATGCAAGGGGATTTGTTCCCTTAGTTTCATATTTTGACATTGCCTTGTATTCTCATATTTGAAACATGTGTACATGTATTCGAAAACAAACAAAATTTTGTAGTAAATACCGCTATTCATCAAATTGATACAAGACGCAAAAATCTTTTTCATGTACCATATGCTAAATTTAAAATGACTTCTGTTGCTCCAAACTATATTGGGCCCAAAATATTTATTCATTTACCTGACATAATAAAAAATTTTTGCATCTATATCTTTATTCAAACGTAGGCTTAGAACTTTTTTAGTAGGTATAAATGTTTTTACAGTGTAGAAGAATTTTTCTCATTATGAATCTTTGATTCTGACAATTTGACTATTCCTATATAATATTTGTATTATCAAAAGAAAAATAAATGATCTATTATTATTATTTTTATTAAAAGTACTTGCCTTCGCAAAATCTGGTTTTTTGTAGAGGTCGACGAAAACTTATATTTCGCGTCCTAGGCTAGGCATATGAATGAATATCACGCCAACATTTTAATTTTTTTACAAAACTTTCGGTACAAAGTATTTTTTCCGAAAGGTTTCGAATGCGGGTAAGCTTCCGGTACCGTTTTTGTGCACTGCGTCTATCAAAAATCTAAAAAATTTGCGTATGGGCGCCTGCGCTTCTAGAATAGTTACAATTACCTAGCAGTATAAA